TATTTAAGAAATGTTTGAAGTATTGTCTAGCACTAGTTTTCCCATTTGTTTTTAATGGAGGGATTGTGTCTATAATGCCATAGGGTGCACTCTTTCTGGCACCAGAGATGCTGTTCTTTCAATATTCCTTCCTTCCAAATTGCTGTGCTAAAATCACTGCTTACTATCCACTAAGTAAGGCATAGTTTGGAAAGTTTCATTTGTATCTTGCCACAATCAGGATGGAAAAAAAGGCTTAACAATCTAGTTTGGATTAGTTCTGCTTACTGTGGCATAAAAACGAATACAATGATGCTTAGAATTCTCACATGGTAATTACTATGTATACAGGCAGCAATTTACATTGATTTTTACTGTACATTAACATCTGTCAATTCACTCTAGTTAAGTATGGTGTACTAATAAGAAACGGAAGTTGCATTAAACTCAAAATATTTTCACAAAAAATATAAACATTATATAATAAAAATATATAAATATAATATATATAAATAAAGCTAGAATAGGCCTTTAAATGCTCCATATGGAACCTGCAGAAGAAATGCCCTTAGCTCACCAATTCTGATTCGGGCATTAGGCCAGATTTAGAAGACTGTGTAATGTTCTATTCTGAGCAGTATGACTGCACAATTAAAATATCTGAAGATTCAGCTTTTAAGTAGCTCATTAAAGGTATTTTTAAGCTTTTCCTTTGAAAGAAAAACCCAACTAAATACAGCAAAAAGATTTTGAATGCATCAGTCAATCCCACCCCATGACCAATGTATAGCTCCAGTGTCATGCATTTGTGCCAGGAGATACAAAATTGCTGTTATCATTCTAAGTAGAGCTACAGGACACTGAGCTGCTATGATAGCACTATAGCTATTTCTGACTTTGTAGAATGGGGCCAATGTTTTTCTCAGAAATAAAGGTTAGAAAATGAAAAGAGCACTCATTTTATCTCCCCTGCCTCTTCCTGGAGAAGACTGGGAGTAACCAGTAAAGAAATTCATCAAGAGTTCTTAAATACAAAGCACCATCTCTTGCTCAGGAAGTTCCTGAACCACAGAGTGCTTGATGATAGATGATTGATTTTTGGGAGTATATATGTTTTCCCTTCCTTTTCTAGTGTTCCCTCAACATCCATTTTTGGACATTGCCTGAGAAAGGATACCAAGTTAGATAAGACATTCAATCTGACACTGAAAAGCCATTCTCATGTTTTGTGACTCTTTAGATATATTTGGAAGTCTGACTTTAAAACAGCAGGACGTCACTTTTTAATAAAGTTAAAGGAGTCCTATAGATATATGCTGTTTCTTTGAACCTACTGTAATTATTATTTCAAGATTTTGCCTTCGGTCTTATTTTTTACATTGTAATGCACCACACCTTTTAAGCACTTAAGCATTCAAAGAGCTGGTGAAGGCAGTTTGGTAGTGTTAGAAGGTGAATTACAGCTCTGCTGAATGATTTACTTTAGATGCTGGGTAAAGTGGGGATGCTGAATGGCCTCATTAACAGCTGTGAGGCCTGTGTGCTCCAGAGATGGCACCAGGACAAGGAGACCTTTTATCTCTCTCTAGCAGTGTATGAAATGCTTATTGACTGGGCTGAACCTTCAAAGTCAGGCCATTATAGGCAAATACAAGATCATGGGCTTCATTCCAGACTAAGATTCACAAAAATAAACATGTATATGCTAATTAATGCATCAGAGTGTATTTAGGCCAAACAGTTAAAGAGAAAAGATTGAAACAGAATTGAGCTGCCTAGATGTAGAATCAGAAGAGGAAAGGAAGCGTAAATAAAGAGTCACTGTAAATAATTTGCAATTTTTTTTTTTTCACCACTTAGGAAACTGCATTTGAGAAATAAGCAGTGGTAACTCTGATCAAAATTATATCAATTTGAGCTGAGGCACTCAGCCACGTTTTACGTGAACTCTTGTCTCCTGATTTTACAGATAGAACCCTCCTGCATAACCTGTTTTAAGTAATTCAAGAGGCACCCTAGAAAATCCTTGGCCCAAGGGCAGAAAATTTTGGAAACATTTAAAGTGAATGAAAAAGAATGGGAAGATAAAGCTGCACAGTGGCTCAGAAGCTAGATTTCTGTGAGGGTAGAAGGAAATTGTTTTAAAACACAGACTGTGTCTATGAAGGTTAAAAGGAAATATGGCATTTTTCAGTATAAAATATGAAGACTGAGATAAAAGAGAGAATCAACAGGTTAAAATGTCTGGCAAGGACAGATTACATGGTTAAAGAACATAAAGGTATAGGAACAAATTCATGGCACAGGTGAGAGTAAAGTCCTTGAGCTGGACACTTGGTGAGGCATTAATCCCCAAGTCACTCTGTCCCCTTTAGAACAGAGTGACTCTTAGGATAGATTGTATAACTATCATAATATTTATATAAGAAACAACAACAACTATAATAATAACCTGTTCCTTTTCTAAACTTTTCCAAATCACCTTTTTTTCACTTCATGGTCCACTGATGAAAAAAACTGCTGAGTGCATAAAGAAAATTGCTATTGAATTTTGCCACAACTTCATCCTTCTTCAAGACAGAAAGATCTTAATGCTAGTATTCGTCAATGACTTTGATCAACAGTCTTCAGCAAATCAGATTTGTTACTGTCTCAGTGTATGAAGAAAACAGATGGAAAGCAATGCAGCTGGATCAAATAGCTATCATTCTTATATAAACTTGAAATGTATTGAATGTGAATATTAATTATGTACTTCAAACTGAAATGGCAAAAACTATTAAATTTCTAATATCTAGACTACTGTAATTTCTGGTTGGAATTGATGATTATGAAATTATTTTTTTTGTCCATATCTTTCAATAAAATAACATATTTTTACTCCTCTTTATGATAAAAAATTTATCTGCTACAAAAAGACAAAAAAACACTCTAGTTAATGAAGACTTAAACCAGTGATAGTTAACCTAGATACAATTTATGCAGTTATTATGATGCTTCTGAATTGCAAATCAAACTATATATGTGTTTTGTTGGAAGCAAAGAAAACAACAAAAGTGAATCTGTTCTATTCTAAGTCATGTCACAGATATGTATGTGTAATACTTCTCCAGTTGGACATAATAGAAATTCCTCTTGAAAAAACCAGAACCTCTTCTGCACTATTCTACTGACTCACCAATTCAGAACAACACATACCACGGTGAACTCCAGCCTACTGGCTTCAAGGGCAAGATCAAGATCCTCAGTAATTCATAAGGGTGCAAATTTACCTGATGTTTCAAGGTGCATGCAGAAGTGTTCTCAAGGTTGCTGAAAGTCTCCTTTTTCAAAAGTACAGATATTGAAATCTCCTATTCCCTTCAAATTACGCAAAAATAGGCAAAAGACAGGACTTAAGAACCACCTGGGGAATCATGAGGAAGGGGGAAATATCTTAAAATTATTTTAAATTTATAAAGAAGCTTTTAATTTTTTCTTTCTTCTTCCTAGTAAATTTTATTATTGTGGACAACATGTACCTTGCTTTATATATGACATAATACTATCATTCATACTTTTTATTTTATTAAGAATTTACATCCTAATGCTACATACAGCAGGTTTTTCCATGCATAGTTTGTGACTGAGACTATAACCAGAAAATTGTGCTTGTCCAGACAGCTGGAAACTGCTGTCCTATCTTCTGAGTGAATTTTCACCAGGGTGTCCAAATGTGCAATATATCTGTGCGTGGATGGCCACTGATATAAATTACTGATCATTGCAAAGATCCCTCCTTACTGATGATTTTTCAATGTAATTTTTGAACACATGCCACAGTTTACTATAAGTTCAGAGAAAGACAAATCACAATGCCAAAGGAGAAAGAAGCCAGGAAGTAGATTTTAGAGCAACAGTTTTGTAATGCATTGAAGCTGTACTGTTACAGGTGTCCATTTTTTCTAGTTTTAACTGTGTCTTTATTACCTGTGAATTAAATAATGAAATATATACTGAAAGTTACTTCTGTTTAAGAGCCCTAGAAATCTGGGGTTTATGATAAGAAAAGAAGCCCTTTACAATCTTCAGCAAACTAGAATATGGGGGAGATAGTGAGGGCAGCATTCAGAATTCATTATTATAGTCACTGTGAAGAGAATCCTCTCTTAAGAGCTGTGGCAATTATGTGTAGCTAAGAGACTAAAACCTGGAAGCTCGCCCTGATGACTGATGACTGTGAAATCAAATATGATCCAAAGTAAAAACCAAGAGTACAGCACAGAAAAGGTATCCAAGTTGACTATTATATGACGGAGAACACTAGGAATCAGTAATGTGCTTAAGCCATAAGAACTTTACCCTGATGCTAGAAAGAAGAAAGTGAAATAGTATTTCTTAAATCCTTCTGTGCAACACAGCTTACCTTTTGTGTTTATCCAGCAAGAATACTCATCCAGTTTACTATCTCGTGTTTATCTGGCCTTTCCAGAGATCTCTCCAGGTTGCACCAGATAGCAGCTAGTATCACACAGAGCAAAATGCCATAGCAGATATCCATCTGATTGGAACTGTACCATTTCATTTGCAAAGTCTACTTCAGTTACAGATTAACAGAAAGAATTTAAATTATTGAAGGAGAAAATTAGTAGCTGGTAAAAGAAAAAAAGTAAGAAAAAAGCATGCTGGAAATTATAGGGGAACCACACGACTTGATTTACTATATGTTTTAACTTTTGCATACAGTTTAGTATTTTTATGTGAAAAGTCTCATCAAGACCAAATATACTTTCCAGAGATTATTAATTTGTCCAGTGAAAAAACATAGATATTTAACTGAATTGTAAGTCAGCTCAAAGCCAAGTCAAGTCTCAAATTTACATAGTAGGCATGATGAAAAATGTGACCTATTTGGAATAGTGGAATCATAATCTAATCTATTTAATTTTATGGTTGCCACCATGGAACTGGTAAAGGCATGGGGACTCACAGTAAAGACACAGGGTGCTAATGCCTTTCCTCTTTTTTGCTACAAATCTCACTCCTCATCTGCTTCAAGATCTACTTCACCAGCAGATCCTTCCTGAATAGTACCCATCTGCAATACATGAAACAGAAAGCATGGGTAGAATACTCTGCCAAATTTAGAACAAACAGCAAGTTACAACAGCTCCTCCAGTCCTCCCTTTCATTACCCAAAGGTGTACAAAAGTCAGGTAACTGTTGCAATTTAATCTCTTTAGCAACATTTGATCCAGCAGGCCTAAGAGTATTTTTTTTTTATTCCCATACCGAAATGCATGCATTAGGCACCATAAACACAGTATTATAGAGGCCATTGTAAGGATGGGTAGGTTTTACAGAAAGTTATCTGTGTCAGTCAGCAATAAAAGCTTTCCTGAATTTCTTCCACCTGGTATTCACTGTAACCCAAGTCACTTCACAAATAAGGTTCATAAACCCTTTTACTAGAAGTATAAATAAGCAGAAAGGTTTCAGTATTAAAAATACGATTAAGAGCAGCAAGTCTTAGCACACCATCTGCAGTGATTGCACTCAAATATTATGTGAGTTCCACTAAGGAATAGTCAATGAGGTTTGTCAGAGAGCTGAGGAGATTTCAGAGGAGAAAGCTATGTCAAGCAGTTTGTGACAGTATGAAGAGACTACAGAAATATATGCATCCAAGGGGAGAGCTTTCAGGCAGTGGAAGTTGAAATACAGCATGCAGTCACTCTCAGTTTCATGAATACACACTAGATTATTACATGAAAGGAAACTGCAGTTCTAGCAATTCTGTGTACTGCAATCCAGGTGTGTTTTCTGCCAAGGATGACCTCCTGACAAGCACCTTATTTTCATCTCAATGCCCTGGATTCTCCATTATAGATTTCATAATCACTTTGACATAATGAATACAGACTTCCTAGAATATTACCTGAAAGTTTGTCCTAAAAGCAAATCCCCAAAACCAGAATGCCTGTTCCTTTCTCTCTGTTTCTTGAAAGTCTATTCTCAACTTTTAGACTGCTAACTTTCTAACAGTCATCTTCACTTCCAGAGGCCACCAAGGATCAACAGCTGTATTATGAATAGGTTCTCAAGCATTCTGTGCTTCAGCTTGTCTCTTGTGCAGACTAATACTGTTCTGCCAGTGTTTATTCAGCAGCTGCCATTGTCTGATACAATGGGCCTGGGTTACCATTTGTCAGACTTGTTCTTCCAGCTAGGCTACATTCCTTGTCCTTGCCACTTCCAGGATCAGGAGATACTTTATGAAGATACTTCCTGAGGCTGCCAAAGGGGCATGCTCTCTTCAAAAACAAGAATCACTTTCATACTAAATTGAAAACTGAAACAAATGCTTTGAAAAATATTTGATTAATAGCCCTGATATAATTATCTTTTTCTTCTTGCACTTCTTAGTTCCAAGAAAATAAAATATCACCTTTCTCCATTCTAACTTGATTTCATTATGCCTTTTCCAAAATTTTCGTATTTGTAACTTTTGCCACTCTGCAAGTTCGGTACAAGCTTTGTGAAGTAGCTTTATTGAAAAGGAGTTCAGCATTTTGCACTGTGCACAAACTATGTCTAAAAATTATTAAATTTCAAAGGGCTAGAAATTAACAAAACACTTTATAACTAACATGAAAAAGTCGTTCAGCTAGCAAAAGGTATTTTTACTTAGGAAAATCTCTGACCAGCTTTTACCACTCTTCTCACAACCACAGTTTTCATCTGTTTCATATGTACTCAGCTAGAGGTTCTCAGAATCTTCACAGAAGACAGATATGCTCAATAAAGCAATTTTCATAAAGCTCCTGATTCATGCACCCATAACTGATATAACCATAAACAATCCTTTCTCTATCAACTAGAGAGTAATGATGTACTGAACAGTATGAATGCCCTCTGCAGGTAGAACACAAAACCACTGCAATTCTGGACTTTTATGTCTGCCTATTTAAGTGGGAGCTACATAAACAAGTCCTTGTCAGCCTGCTCTGACATTGTCTGACAATTTTAAATGGTACAGTAGCATCTCCAGGTACTGTCAACAGGCAGTTTTTAATCTAGCACACACTTTTCACCAGTCACCAAGGCAGCCTGTGTCTATACTGCTGAATTAGACAGGAACATAGAGCCAGATCAAGCCCTGGTGTGGTTTGACTATACCAGCTACTATTCTTTCCCATACCTTCTGTATAATGCTACCTGTAAGTCTTTACCAGTAACAGGAGGTGTTGTGCATCCTTCCCTTAATTCTGAATATTTGCATACATAAATTATGCCTGAAGCCAGAGCAGTGCTCTATTTTGTCCAGGGGACATCAAGGGCCAACTGATGCATATTGTGGATATAACCCATTCTGTGCCATTTAGCCTCTGATCTAGAGATCAGTTCCCCCTCTCTAAAGCCTCAATAACCTACTGCAAGAGGCAGGTTTTGAAATAATCAATACTGCATTTTCCTGAAAGGCCAATTTAGGGTTGGGGACAGCATATGTTAGGTAGCACACAAGCAACAGGTGAACAGAGCTTCCTGTTGAAGCTGTTATTAGAACAGATGCTAAACTACTAAGCTTGTATAGGCCTGCTCTGAGCCTACTGCTGTCTTTGTCTGCTACGTGTTGCCAGAGGTTTCAGAGCCTGTGTCACAGCAATCTCCTATTCTTTACAGGAAAACAGCAGTCAGCAACAACTGCATGCCTGAACTCCATGACCCTCAGCCCTATGATCTCCATCTCAGCATATTCATGCTGGTTTTCTGACTGGCCGAGTCTACTGTGGATGAGATCAATGAAAATGTAAATACATGCATTCAGTTAAGAGAAGGATGATCTTATCCCTTAGCCAAAGATGAATGTGAATGTGAAGTGTTTGAAGACAATTATGAAATCAGAGCAGGAAACAAAGTTTTAAACACAGGTTTTACTGGAACAAGAAGACTGATGAACATCATGTGGAGCACTGTAAATATAATATACAACAAAAGTTAACAAAGCAAAAAAAGCACTAACAATCAAAACCTGAAAAAGATGAGAGTGTGACAGCAATAGATCTATGGGTATGCTTAACTTAGTTGCCATCATTTTTGAGACTTTCACAGGAAATTCTGACCTCTTTCATAAGAACATGCCCAAAATAGCTTGCCTTGGGGTAGATTCACTCTAATGGATGGCCTTGACTTCCAGCTGCACATGAGCTGCAGCTCTAACTTCAAGTTCAGTACAGATTTTTAGGTGTATTCAAAGATTCCAGATGTACAGACAAATTACTTGCTTGTACTTGTCCCTAACTCTGCCACAGAAGTTTAGGTAATTCATACAGTCCACAAAATCAGTACACACAACAACTCCTGTTTGCTTACTAAAAACATGAATAAATTACTTAATTCCTGCATTTGAGAAAGCAGAGTGGTATTCTATATACAAGAGCCTCAGTTGCCACTACAATAAGAACTAAGGCATAGAAAACCATCTGATTAGCTTTAAGTTCAAAGACATGACATAGCATATGTAACTTCCAAACTGGATTATTGTGACATAGCAGTTACAAAAATACTTTTCTTTTTCTGTCTATACGTACAGCTTACCAGTCAGATCCATTAACATTGCTTTGGACTTTCTGGATAGTCCGATTCATTCTCAGTTTATCAAAGGTCTTGAGTCACACTTTAAGTTCCACAAAAATCACATTGTATGTATGTATTTATACACAGTTCTGAATTAAATCCTGATGTAGATTTCAGCAATTTATTTTTTTTTCTGCTGAAAATACAGCAGTCTCTGTAGCTGACATCAGAAAACCTAACAGAGACATGCTTCTCATGGATGCTGCAGGCGTGCCAAGAACTAACCAAGGTGAGTGCAGGTCAACTATGAGAGCTGTGATTACTTGAAAATGCTTTTCTGAAGGTCCTGTATTGTTTCATTAGCATTAGGGTACCCTTAATGCAATACTGTATTAAGGTCCCTACTTTTATGTGCAACCTAAGAGAGAACAGATAAATACTTATTTTTCTCCCCTGACACCTTCGTTGAAACACTAATGGAAAGATTTTTTTTAAGTCTATAATAGGTTTAGCAGCAAGAGACAAGGACCAGTACCTTGCTTTATTTGCATGTTGTTTTACAAGTTTTTCTTGTTTCTAAGCTGCATGTTTTACTTTCCAAAGAATGCACAGGTGGTTTTGATTTTGTGTATATGCCCACATAAAATTTCCACATCCCAAACTCCAGTGTAGTGCACACTACTTGCATTTTCCTGGAAATTATGAAGCCCAAACTTCTTTACTTGTTATAGACTTCTTACATTAATTGTGAATTCTGTAGCTGTCTCCACTGATATGCAAGTTAGCACTGTACACAACATGTCTGTCCTGCCAAAGACCCATCTAATTCATCCCTCCTGCACAAAATGCCACCGACACTACACCACTTGTCACTTTTTAAATTTTTCATCACATTTCTCTCTCCAATCCACTACAGCTACCTCAAGGCAGTTATTTCCAATGTTAATCTTTTAATATTCAAGCAAAACATCTTCATTAACTCGCCAATATATTTAATTAAAAATAGACTATATGCCTTGGGTGGGGCTTACACAGCTCCCACATTAGGTTCATCTTCACTCTCTGCAACCTAAACTGAACTGGGAATTTATCAAGGTGTCTGCACATGAAATATCCAAGAAAGCAGGGACTGTAAAGCTGCCAAATTTCATAGCACCTGGGCATACTATCCACAGAATCTGCAATATAGCATGTCAACAGGTTGTCACAGCCATAGACTGAGAGCAGGATGGCAGAGTATGTTAAATTTACTGCATTTTAACAAAGGCTAATGCCTATTTTCTGAATACAACACTAACACTGGAATTTCTGATTTGCAGAAGGTTTTATGTTTAATGGACTGTGTGTAAAATTCCCAAGGCTCTGAAGATTACTGTGTATCATTGCAGCTAAACTTCAGCTCAAACAGAGAATGTTTCTATTTTTTAAAAGAAGCCATCATTTGCATCATATTTTTAACCATCATCTGCATCTACCATCACCCCTCCAAATATTATTACATTTATGCTTAAATCTACAAGA